GACTTTGCGCTTAGAATAGTATTTTTAATAGCCTACGAAAGTAGTCTAAAATTTTTCAATTTTTCTGAAAATTTTAGTGAATGCTGCACAAAAAAAGAGCTTCATTTTTGTATTGACAACTTTTTTCTAGCTACAGTAGTTTTTGAGTTATGCGCCGAATAGCGCAGGCGGGAGACAGGATGCAGACATGACTTCTTTAAAGGCGCATATCTGAAAGACTACGGTAGCTAGGAAGTCGCCAACTACAAAAGTGAAGCCCTAGTTTTGTTTGGTAAGGTCTGACAGCTTCTAGACATTTATAGCCCTCATAATTCCAGAAATTCCGAAAAGTTTCGCAAACACATGTCCGCAAATTCTTGGAAAGTGTGTGGCCGTCAGAAATCAACTACCGTACTTCCGTCAATGGTCATTGCTCAGAATTTGGATGAAATCGATGTGCAGGATGTGAAGATGACGACTTCAATGGATGAAAAAGGCATTACTCGTCAGTACTGTGTGACGTGGATTGATTTGGAGAAGAATAAGAAGACGTCAGATGAGGATGATGATCGGGAATTCGTGGGTCTGAAGACGACGTCATCAATGGCAAAAGTACATGAGGGAATGAAGACTGGAAGTTAGTGAATTTGGAAATTCAGAAATTCAGAAATTCAGAAATTCAGAAATTCAGAAATTCAGAAATTCAGAAATTCAGAAATTCAGAAATTCAGAAATTCAGAAGTTCAGAAATTCAGAAATTCAGAAATTCAGAAACTCAGAAATTCAGAAATTCAGATATTCAGAAATTCAGAAATTCAGAAATTCAGAAATTCAGAAATTCAGAAATTCAGAAATTCAGGAGTTTAGTATTACTGTAGTTTCAATTTTTCCAGAAATCCAATGCGACGGACCTTGTGGTAAAGTGGTGAATCTGGGTGACGTGGCACAGTTTGGATGTGATCATGTGATTTGCGACAAGTGCCGTCGATCGCAAAAGAGCACCGCGCTTTTTGATGGTGAGCAATTTTTTTAAAATCTGTAAAAATTATGAAAACAATTTTTTTTAATTTCAAATCATTTTCTCTCATAATCTTCTGCTTGTGAAAACTAATGAACACCAGTAATGCCACACGGAAGCTTTCAAGAACGGTCTACCTATTTAACACAATTTTTGAAACAGAGAAAAGTTCTTAAATGTAATCATGCTCCTTTGCTCATTCAGGTTCTCCCGGATGCTGCCACATGGATTGCATCGAACGTGCTACACATGACAGACAAAAATTGAGATCCGGACGTCGGTTGGATTCGATGGCTTCATCGATTTCGCTTCGCTCGGTTAGTTCAGTAACCC